AAATAAATGTAAGCACGTACGTTTGTCATACAACTATAAAAAGAAATATGTACGTATACATACATTGAGTTTAACTATCCTATTATATAAGAGTTGGTATTTCGGTGAACGAGTCATAAGATAAAGACTATAAGATTTGACTAATAAATGCGTCTGTGTATATGAAAACAGCTCAGCTCAATTTTAGAGCAGAGCTATCTATAATTTTTTTTTAATTAATCGTATAAGGTTTAATAAGTTACTTGATTTCAAAAGGAATATTAATAAATGGAATATATAATATATAACTTAAAAAATATGAACATATAAGATCAGTTAGCTGGCTAACATTCTCAAACGAGAATCCAAATAGTACAGTAAATGACGGTTTGAAAATCATACTTTGTTTGGCTATTTTATGTCCTACATATCGGTCCGCTCTAAAATTATTGGGTCAAGTCAAGAACTGAAATTAAATATTTTATTTTGCGAATGTGAAAAAGACTATGATCCCTAAAGTCTCTGTCTTACAGATTCAGAGAAAAAGTTTTGAAGTGTTTGGTCTTTCACTTATTATTTGCATGTTTTGCATATATTTATGGTATGACTCAGCATGAACCATAATAGACGTCACAATTTTATTGGTTTTTTTTTTACTAGAACATGGTATATGCTCGTTAGTTTTTGTATTTTACCAAAATACTTTAGCAGGCAATGAATATGAAATTTGAGTAAATGAGCCATTTCATAATTCTCCCAAGATTATGGATTATGGAACCATTGAAATAACATTTCTGTATGTTGATTTAGTTATGAAAATTTTTAAAATTTTTTATTTTAATAAATTTTGATATTTTAGAGGAAATCAAAAGGAAACTCAGGGTGAGAGGATTTATTTTTTTAATTCTAACTTAAGATTTTACAAACTGCGATTTCCTATACATTTTAAAGTTTTTATAGCTATCGCTCAAGTATATTTAACTTGAAGCTTTTAGCTTGCTATTTTGGGTTTTAAATATTTTTTAAAACAGCAGTCAAGCTTGGATACTTATTTTGGATACTTATTGTACATATACCCCATATAGGCTTACATATACCCTATATAGGTACATATATCCCATATAGAAAGAAATTTTGTATATTTTCTCATATATTCGAAATTATAATTTCGAAATTAAAATTTTTTATTAGAAATTTCGATATTTTTTGCAAAATTCGATTGAAAACTAAATAAAACGACGACTCACAGTTCATATACCAATTAATTTGGGTTGGGACTTGTTATATATAAATATTATTAAAAATTTATTAAAGCTTTAAATTTTAAGAAAATTTGCATGTTCCGTTCGTGAAAAATATAGAAATGTGCAAAAAAAAAAAAAACAGAGAATTGAAATTAAAGCACCACTTTTTATCATTACGAAATTTTATTTTTTTGTTGTTTTTGTTTTTTTTTCGCTATTTTATATAAGGGAGCGTCAAATTAAATTTTGAAAACAATAAGAAATGATTATTATTGTGCTTACTGTACTAATCCGATAGTTATTTCTAATTATTTATTTTAATGAAAGGAATTTTTTATTTTCGCCGAATTTACGTCAACTTTTTATTACAAAATTTATAAGTTTATTATTATTCATGAGCAAAAAAAAAGTTTGTTTTACTTGATTTGAAATTTAATATTGTTTAATAAAATTTTGTGGCACATATGCTATTTTTATAGTTGTTCAAAATTTCATAGTCACCTGAAGTTAGTGTGTGTTACGTAATATTCAAGTTATTGTTTAAATAAATTCAATAATGTGCTTGAATGAGAAATTTGAATTCTGAACATTGTACCATACGGTCAATAACGTCAGGTAAGAGAGACGTTTATAAATAATTAAAATATTTTTTTTTTTGAATATTAAGTATTTTATAATAAAAAAAAATATACAATTTGGATTTAGTGTGGCAGTACATGAGGTTTTGATATTAATCTCACTTTTTATTATTGAAGTCTAGAAAAAAAATTTTCTCAAACCTTAAATTATTTTTGTAAAGAGTTTGAAGTTCTATATTTAATTCTAGAGGTGTGATGTTATACTATGACATAGTAGTGTACTTAATGTAATATTAAATGATAGAAAAAATTTTATTATACCCATTGCACTGCAAAAAAAAACAGTTTGAGAAATGGATAAATGTATAATCGTACAATAGCTTTATATCAGCTCGTCATTCAATCCATTCAAACAAGTGATAATTCAAGAATGGAATTGAGCAGTTCATATGTGATTCATGTGTGATTTGAATTGAGCAGTTCATATCGCTTGGCTGTTTTAATTATCATTTACAATTTTAAAAGTAAATTGTAAATTTTATAAAATTTTGAGATTATTATTACAGTACAGGAATTTTGCTTATGCGAATATAATAATAGAATTATTTCAATATCTTCTAGTGAAATTCTTTCGAATTCTTATGAGATTGTCGCGCAACATTTTACTATCGCGTAACATTTACAATTAATGACTAATAATTTTATATCAAATATTTTTTTGAGTGTGTGATATTTTGTTGAATTATTTTTATAATTGTGTGTTTAAATACAAATATGTTAGCTTTTTAAATACTATTATTTAATACTATTATTAAAAATAGAATTTTCTGATTAAAATAATGTTTACAGCGAGTGAAATTTGTAAATTTTTTATTCTTATTACGGGATTAAAATTTATAAAAATTGCATATTTATGGGAGTGTTCTACATTTTTTTTTCTTAATTTTTAAATACTTCTAATAAAATAGTTTATAGTAGTATAATTAATTTCCGAAAAAAATAAAACTTTTACCATTAAAAATAGGGAGATAAATTTAAGTACTTGAGTTAAGAATAGAGTTTGAGAGTTAATTTTGAAAATTTAACAAATAAATAAAATATTGCTCTCTGTTTTAAAATTAATTTCCGAAAAATTTTACCGTTTTATTTGTATTATAATTTATTTAATATTAAACAAAATTTGCTTTTTACTCTTCAGTTATATACACATATTAAATTTGACTCATCATTATTCTTTAATTGAGTATACAAAAATAAAATCCTTTGAGATTTTTCATTATTATCGTATGTTTTTTAAGGATATTATATAATAATAAATGAAGTAAACACATACAAACATATTATATATACCAAAAACAAAAATTTATATATTTTTTCTTTTAATGAATGTTATTTTCGGTTTCATATTAAACCATAAAATTAATTATATGGTTCAATATACACACACATATATAAGTAGGTCCATATATAAAAATTCGTATTCTTTACATATTCAAATATTATTTATGTATGCCTACTTCATTACAGATGAATGATGAATTTATATGTATACGCTGTTGATGATGATGTATACCACCCATCAACATGTGATGATGATCAAAATTCTCTCAATTGTAATTTAATATAATATAAAAGAACAATGAATGAAATATAAGGTATAAGATTATTTAATTTCATTGTTTATATTTGTTTTTAAAAGAATATTATATTATATAATTATTGTATATATGTATATGTGTATATACAAACGAAAATATCCATTTAATCCAATTACATATTAAGTTTTCAAATTCTATGGAAAATAATCATATTTATTCTTTTTTTTTTAAGAAAACCAGGATTAATTTATTTTTATATTTTATTTTGTTAATTATATACATATATATATATATATATATATATATACTCATATATTAAATTATGTCGAATTCCAAGAACTTAATCCATACTATTGCTTAAAAAATTTCCTAATAATTTCAACTCAGTTGAATTTGATATTGGTGAAATTGGTGAACTTTAAAATTTAAAATAAAATTTTAATATGTGATAAAAAATTTTAATTTATTTAAGAATTTTATATAGTTGATTTCAAATTTTATAAGTAAAATAATCTAAAATTAACCACGTTGCATGGTTGGTAATTGAAATGGTAATAAATTCTTCTTGAATATGAAATAAAAGAAATTATGGTAATTAATTTCTAATAATTCAAATGAACTTGAAATTTTTAAAAAAATAAATTAACTTATAGGGTAAAATAAGAATACTTGAGCTCGAATCAAAGCATACATTCCTTTAAGCAATATCAAAATAAGCATTAAATCTATGGTTAAATTCGATAGCTATAGTAAGATCAATTTAAGATATCAAAGTTAGATTATTTTGATGTCACATATCGGAAGATACACTTAGGTGAGGTATAGGCCCGTTGTGATAACGTCGAATTTTCATATCTTAAACCTCACTTGAATCATCCCGAGTCCTTTACAAACCAGTTTAAAATCCTTCAGATGTATATTCATCAGGTTTGTAATTCGCATAAAGAAATATAAACCAAGAAAATTCTGTTTCCCCCATGCTAAAGTAGGGCACAACCACAGAAGATGAAGCACAGAGTTAAAGATAAACCACTGTATGATTGATAAGAATACATTTACCGTTATTTTTTGCAAATCTCAAAGCCCAACAATTTATAATTGAAACAAAAACAATTTCTTATAGATAACGGCTAATAACAGTTAATTTCAACCGGCATTTTGTCTCATTTAAATTTATGTATGCTACTTCAAGATAGGGTAGAATCATTAAAAATATTGCTACTTCATATTTGTTTGCGGCATGGTGTCTCTAATCACAAGTTTTGCAATTTAAAATAAAAAACAAAATTTAATAATATTGTGAAAATAAATATTTAATTTTTTTAATTGATCAAATTCTTATTGTTCTAAATCCTATAAAAGAAAGAAAATTTTTTGAATTATTCTTACCAATCCTATGGTTTCTATTTCTATATTCTAAATTTCTAATAATTTACAATTCATTCTCTATATATTACAACAAGATTCATACTAATTTTTTGTACAATATTTGTTTTCTTTTTACAATTAATATCAATTATTTTACTTATTTATTTTCTATAGAAAACTAATAATATTATTAATTAATATAAATTCTAGAATATTGTCTTAAATATTAAAAATTAAGAATGAATTTTTCAAATTAACATTCATAAATTATTCGTTTGGTATGATGTTTTTTTTTCTCTTCTTAATCTTATTTCATCAAATCCTCCAATAATAATATATAAAATAGTTAAAATAATAAAATATATACCAAAAGACATAAATTGTCCTCGGCAATCTAAACTAAAACCTTTATCAGATATAACAATGAGTGTAAAAATTGATTGTATTGCAAGTGCCAATAATGTGTTGATACCGAAAATTAATCCAAAACTATCTTCAGCCAAATTTTTAGCAACTGTTGCACTGTAAATAAAAAAAAAAACAAAAAAAAAAATTTATTAAAAATAAAAAAAGAACTTTTTAAAAATTGTTGAATCGAAAAAATAATTTCACCAATATTATTTTTGAGGGTAGTTTTTAAGGGATGTTGCCATGTGTAAATAATCCTTTTAGTTTGCCTCTAAGCAAAAATACGATGTTTTCGGTTTATTTTTAATTTTTGAATGAATTTTATTATAAATGAAGGTTTTTCAAAGTTTGAAGAAGCGTGAAATGAAATTTGTTTTTCAAATAGAATTAGAGAATAATTTTTTTTTTCTGTGTTCGTAAAATAACAGTTGTCAGTGGTTCTTAATTCTGCGCGTATTTTCGATTGTTTTTTGTTTTATTCTACTTCGTTTCTGGAAGGAACTTAGGGCTGGTGCATGGTATCGTTAGATAACCATGAACCAAATTCTCCCATCATTGAGTTTTATTAGGTAGCAAACGAGCCTACCCTAGTATTTTGGAATTAATTTGATTTTAATCAAAATACAAAGTATAAGTTTAAAAGTAATTCTTATATGTTGTATGGTTACACATTTGGTGGTCTTGTATAAGTTTATTAATGTAATGGGAATAGATCAAATTAAGTACCTCAATACTTGATTATTAAAAATCCGTTCCATTTGTAAATGTTAAAATTTTTTTTGTTTTCATAGAAAGTGTCTCAATTATTCCAAATGAGGATCAAGAGAACAATTCAAAATTTAGCATTTAACAATATTTTTTAACCTTAATTTAAATTTTGCAAATTGAAGACTTAAGCATTTCTCATAAACATTTTTTTTGGAAACCTGTATATTTACAGTCTTAAAGTAAATTTGAAGAAGGCAAAAATAATAAAATTTTAGGCGCACTTTTTTTCTCGCCATTTCAAAAATTTCAATTAAAATTGTATTCCATATTAAAGTTAATTTGATTTCACGCAAGATTCTAATATTTGCCATACATTTGTTTACATGTGTATACATAAAAATTATTTAAATTTTTCATTTTTACTTAAAGCGCCTAAATGTATTCTGTAAATATCGTATAGATTTTTGTATATTTGCATGTATATATGCTGGTGTATTGTACAAATTCAAAAAGGATATGAGAATAATTTTTGATCGGTTTTCCATTCAAATGAATCCGAATGAATTAAATTTTATATTTCACTGTATAATTATTATATTTTCCATTGAAAAATAATTAGTTTTTGTTTTATTGGAAATTTTTTCTTTTTGGATTGGATCTGACATGTTGGATGTTGGCACTTCTTTTAATAACCTACAGAAATAACCAGGGGCATAATTGATATTTCAGGACCCATATAGTTTAGTGGAATTTTCGGGATAAAAGTAATTGTGTAGAACACTAAATATTCATCCAAATGGATTTTCAACTAATTTATCATTGGTATTTCGAAGAGTTATGCAGGTATAACTAAAATAGCTTCACAGCCTGTATTCATAAATATTTTGTACAAACTGCCAGAAGTTTTAATCGAATTTCTGAAGTCTAACTTCAATTTTATGCTTGTAATTGTAAACTATATGAAATGATCAATGGTAAGTTGGAATTGTTTTACTTCGACCTGTTTGTGAAGAATTAACATTTTCATTGCCCCGAATTAAGAGGCACATAATATTATACTTTGGATAAGATATGGGCTTGGTTTTCATTTATATTAAGCACATCAATTTGATATTCTTTACTAACCTTTGATCTTTTTACTAAAATTTTATATATTTTGAATCTCTTCAGTCTTCTTTTTACAAGCATTCTATTTGCCTGGGCCTATTCAATCTATAAGTAAATCCGGCACTGCTTAATACTGTCAATTTATATGTTATACATGTAGTATTAAATAAAAAGTGTTTACTACGTATCTGGTATACGTATCTGGTATACATACCAAATACATTGTTCTCTAAAAGTACTCATATTACAATTGATTGAAGTTGACAGGATTGATTAAATTTTATAATGTATTTTTGGTATTCAATATTAATTGAAATGGAATTTTAAATATTTTGTCTTGTTTATAGAAAGCATTTTAGCTTTTGTTGTTCATTTTGTTTATTTTTTTTTTGATATTATTGAATTTTTTTGGTTAAGATATCAACAATAATGATATGTGAAGTAGGTAGTTATAGAAAATTGTATGCCATTTTAGGATATAAAATCAAAAAATCAAAAAATCAAAAATTTTTTTTTCATTTCATTGTGTATTTTTGTTGTTAGATAATTTGACTATTATATTTTATGTATTTTCTGTTATATTGTTCTATTCATTTACAAAATCATTATTAATTATTTAAGGAAATGCCATGATTTTTTGTCTATGTAATTAAAAATATGAGTTTTGAAATTTAATTATAGGTTTTTTGTTAATTAATTATTTAAATAATAATTTTTTAAATGAATTGTGGGATAAAAATGATTCGAAATTGTCATAATTTTTGAATTATTTCAATTTGATAATTTTGATATAGATTTTAATTAAATTTCAATTTGTGGTAGAACTCGTAATATGTATCAAGAGCAGAATAAATTGTATTCGAATATGGCAATATGTGGGTAATGTGAGTAATGTGAGTAATTTGAGTATGACAAAATAATTATGAATAAAATATTTAATTAAAATAAACATGACAGATACTTAAATTATAAATTTATGGTTTCCTGTTTAAAATTAATAGGCCTTGCAAATTTTAGTCCCAAAATTTTCACTTTCAATTTAGAAAACTTCTAAAAGAGAAGGATAACTTAAAAACTTATTTTGTTTTTAACTGAATTCTCTAAAAAGTTTCGTTTTATTAATTTAAAGAATTGTATAAAACGATTAATTCCCCAATTAATTACAAGAAATTGCATCGTTTTCATCTTCTTCTTTCTGTCAATTGACCTATTATTCTTAGTTGACTAGGTTTTTCCAATTTCAAAAAAATTTTATTTTAAATAGGAGACATTACATGTATTAAATATATAATTTTATATATGTTTGTTGCATATAAACTGAATAAATAAAATTTATTTAAAATTATTTTCAATTTTAATATTCTATAAATTGTTTAAATTGAAAATAGAAAAGAAAAACATGGCACTATAAAGTAGTTTGTGATAATGTTAATAGGGAAATCTTTTCCTGAGAATGCTAACAGGGAAATCTCTTTTAGGGAATGTTAACAAGGAAATTTTAATCTCTAAATACTAACGTAAATTTTGTTAAGACGAAAACTTAGGTTTTTTGTCAGACAAGATTTTCTAGCAAGAATTTTTTAAATTAAAAGAAACAATATGTTATTTGAGGGGCTCAGAAGCGAAATGGTCAAACCATGACCTCATAAATTTTTGCGATAATATGTAGTATAGGCTACTTCTGCTCTGGAAATTAGGATAAAATTTTGGGTCCCTCAAATAACACATTTAAAAACAAAATTTGGGACCCAATTTTATATATATACTTTTCCAACAAAAACACAAAAATTTTGGGAATAAGAATTAGGCCACTATGCTTCTGGGCCCCTCATCATTAATTGTGTTTTAATAAATATGTTAGAAAACTGCTTCAAACAAAATTTGCAGTCTTAATTTAGGAAATTTTATATAATTTCAAAATTATTTTCTTGAAAAATTTGAGTTAGTCTTAAAACCAGATTTAATTCACACTTTTAACTTATAAAATCAAATTTTATTTCATTATAGTTTTAAAGGATTGCGAAATTTAAATATGGTAATTTCTAAAATTTGACTGAGTTTGGCAGCTTTATTTTATTGCCATACTTAATTAATTTTCAAAATATAACGTGAAATTTTAAATTAATTATAAATACTGGAACACCCTTTAAACTAAATAATTTAATTTTTTTTTTGAAAAAAGAATGGTTCCCTTTATGATAATTTTCCATTTACCATAAGAAATACACAAATATTTAACCAAAAAAAATTTATGTTATTTTAAGGTTGTCTTTTAATATAGTTACAAAATTTTTAATACGCAATGTGTACACATTGCATCCTTTTCATTTTTTAAGAGGTACATACTCGTACAGCTCATTATTTTTATGGTATATAAAATTTTATTATAATAAAGTGTTATTTTATTTTATTGTGGGCAACCCAAACAAAATCTATATATTGAAAATTTCTTTTAAGTATCCAATAAACCTTATAACTCGCATAAATTGTTTAAATATCCTTTTCATTTTTTTTTCAAATTCCCTTCTCATTTTAATTTCCTAATTTTTAAAAAATTATTTCATTTACATAAATGCTCATACATTGAATTTGAATACTGTAATTCATAACGCATATTCTCCTAAAAGGATCCTATACAAAACGGTTCCCTGTTATGTCCCATATTTCTTATTCTTAATAACACTCTCCCCCCCCCCTTTTTATATATTTAGTTTTATATGAAAAAGGTATAATGCATAACCATTATTATATATTTAACTTTTATGTATAATAATGGAAACCAAAAAAAACAAAAAAAAAACACACACAAACTTACCTTGCAATTGTTATCATAAAAAAGTATACAACACCAAAGAGCACGTACATCACGTACGCAACCCAAATACTGTTAGTTTTTGCAGCTAATATTAAAAAACCGCCTTCAAAAAGTGAACATAATGCCAATAACCATAGATCCCATTTTTGATAATGTTCACTATTAAAAATACCAGCAATAAATGTACCAACCGCACCTAATAATGTTAAAACAGCTTCCACGGCACCATTATATGAATATGTTGAATTTATATTATGACTTATAATGATTGTTATATTATTGTTATCAACAATATTATAACTATTATTATGACCATTATTATTATTAATGTTGGTTATTGAATTTGTATCAATAATATCCTTCCAAAGAAGTTGAACGTAGGAGGCGACCTTTTGTATATCCATATTATTTGTTGTTGTTTGTATGATGTACGGTTGAAAGAGATGAAAAAAAAAATTGTAATATTAAAGTTTGTATGTATGTATATGAAAATGATGAAAAATTAATCAAAAAATTCAAATATGGTAAATAAAATTGTACAGTGAGAAGGAGAAGGAGGCAAAAAACGTGAAACCAATAGAGAAATAAAGAAAATTTGAGAAAAACAAAAACAAATATCCAAAAATAAACCAGCAAACATAAAAAACAGTGTTAAAATTATCTTTAAGGGCTTATCATTTACCATACTTAGTTGAGTGTTGCAGTGCAATGAAAAAATAAAGTTCTCACATGCAAAAACTATATAAAGCAAAATTTTCAATTCTCTTCAAAACTCTTCATTTGACTTAAAAATTTTCTAAAATATGACATTAAAGTTTTTGTAAAATTTTTTAAGAAATATTGTCGAAATATGGTCGAAACAATGACCTATTAGCCTGTTAGCTCTGAATCTTATTCTACCATGTCGTAATTGGCCTTAAGGAGAGAGAAGAGGAGTAAATTTTGGAACCTGAAAATATATATCTTTTCACAACATAGATCAATAATAGATTGACAATACGAAATGTGATAAAGAATGCTCTCATATTAGTCAGTGCCCTATGCAGGGCTTGGGTATTAATATATAAAATTAATATTATAAGAAAATATTCTTTGAACTCGTTTAGATGGGCAACCTTAAACTTACATATCAACGAACTACTTCTATAACCAAATAACTACTCTTCTAATTTAATTTGAATCTTCTACAAGTTAACGTAAGAATTAACAATAGTAATCGAATAAATTTATTAAATTAATATGGTTTGTGTCCAAGATACTACGGTAAGAATTTTAACTGAATATTATTTTATTAATTTGTGACATGACAGAAAAATGATACTGTTATTTATATTACATTACAGTATTACGTTAACATTAACAATTTTTTAATCTGTTATATTATCATGAATAAAATTTTTAAATTTTCGACAATTTACTGTAACAAAGAGTTAAAATTGATTTGGGATTTGTTATACAAACATATTTTATTTTTTTGGTTTATAGTTTAATGTTTAAGGTTTGTAAAATGGTATAATATCAAAAAATAAAAAAAAAATTGTTAAAGGTCATTAAAGGTCTGACCAAGTTAGGTTATTAAAAATGAATATTAAATTTATTATAAAATTATTAATATGTTTTTCTGATCCTTTATATGTGTGTTTTATATTGTATAACAATAAACTAAAAGTTCATTTTTTTTTTGTGTTGAAAAACATCCTATTTATAAATTTAGATTTGAATATTTAAAATTTATTCTCAATATTAAAGCTCAATAGCATTTTAATTTTTATGAATTTTAACATGTCAAGGCTTTAATATTAAATTCTGTTATACATATATAAGTTTATATAATAACTGAGTTTATATTTTGTATATTTTGATTTTATTATTTTTTTTTTAATCAAAATTTATAATAGTTTTTAATAAAAGTCCACAATAGTTGAAAATTATGCATGAATTTTCAAATCTCTTAAAATATTTAATAATAAGGGTCAATAGCTTTCACAATACCAAATAGCAAACGACAAAATTTAATCTGCAAAACTCATAAAATTTTATGATTTTCCTATATTCTACTAAATTTCTTATAATGTAAGAATATTGGGTATAAAAATTTTTATTAAAGAAATTTTTGGAAAAATTTCTGAAAAATATTGGAAAATTATAAAAATTTTATTTAGATATTTTAATCTTAAAAAATTATTATTCATATTATTATAAATTTTTTAAATATGAAATATTTGTCTGCATAAATATTAGAGATTTGGTGCCATTAAAATCTATAGCACAAGAAGAAAAAAAAAATTTGATTTTTCTTTCATTCTTTGTTCTTGAATTCGAAATATGGTGTTTAATGTGATTTTTTTATTTGAATTATGAAAATTAAATTTGCTTAAGCAATATTTATTGTTATTACACATTATAGTTGCGAACTGCATTGCTCATACTGTATGAGAGGCATTGTGACCACATTAAATTTCACATATTAAATTTAATTTTCAAAACAAGCGTCTTTCATGGAATGTAAACGAAACGCAATGAGTGAACTAAATTTAGCTGTTGGGACCTAATCGTCCCGGTTTTGTGATGGATTTTCACTAGTACTCAGTTGCATTAAATTTTAAGGTTAAAGAAGGTAATTGGCGTATATTCTTGATTATTGCTTTAGCTTGTCGAGCATCAACCGGCGGAAGCAATTTACTACAATGAAATCGAGCTTTTTTCAGCTTATAAATAATTACTATTACTTAAAATTAGATCAAGCTTATAAGTGGCACGATTATATGAATTATATATATTACGTAGAAGATTATGTAGAGACCACATCAGATTTCTTTTTTCAAAGAATTTTATGTCTTTTTATAGAAGACTTAATATAAAAATTTTCTCTAAGTATGATAAAACCAACAATCACTGTTGAATTGTTTATACAAAATTGAATTATATAGAAAATGAAGTTCAATATCCTGAATTAAAAAAGGTCGAATAAAATTTAGATAAAATTACAAATTTAATAGATGAAGATTTAATTTTATTAGATTTTTTTGATTTGGAAAACAATTCCAGTTTAAAGTAAATTTTTCATACATAATTTTTAATTTAGAGCAGTTTGAATGAAATAATTTAATTTGTTTTTTTAAATAAAATGGAAATATCGAAAATGGGGATCTATAGAGGAATGAATATGAGGCCGTTTGTTCGGAATATAACCAGTAATGTTAAAAAATATTTAGTACGATATTAGATTTAAAAAATTTTTCCCACAACATTTCAAACAACAACAATATGCAATTAATTAAAAAAAAAAATATTGTATTTGATCCAACAGTCACAAGATTAATTGCATTTTCAAATAAATTTAAATTTTCAAATCAAATTTGAATTATTCTATTATTCTTGTAAAAATTCGAAGAGATATGAGACACTCATACAGAAATTTAATACCCATATATGGGCAATTTTATAATTGAACCTATTTTAATTCCAAACCTTTTTAATGAAATTTTGTATACCGTAGAAATCTAACTCAAATTAGTTTAAAAAACCCTACTTTGTTTTCTCTATTAATCTCTAACAATCTAAAATTTTTTATAAATTCGGTACATAAAATTTAATTATATAAAATTCACAATCTTCAAAAATAATCAAGAAACTTAAATTATATATACATATACATATATTATATCGTAAGTAATAATAATTTAATTTAGAACAAAAAAAAAAAAACACAAAAATTTATGACTAATATTTTATAATATTTTTAATAACCCTTTTCAGTTATTTTTCTCTTATATAATATGTTGATATGTATATATATATATATTATATAATACGAATATATATGACATATACCTGTAAATATCCACACATTGCTAAAGACCACCAAATGCTCCATTGTATAACAGTTCGATTTGTATAGGCTGTATAAGCATGTTGCCATAATAATTTTGTTGCCTTTTTCCATGAAAATTTTACGATCTCATTCTAAAAAAGAAAAAAAAAGAAAAAACAAACAAAATATTTAAGTATTTTTGGTATTTTTTTTTTTTTTTGTTTTATAAATAACACTTTCTTAATGCTGTCGTTATCCTAACAACACAAAACAAAAAAAAACAATATTAAAAACAGCAAAAAAGGATGAAAAACAAAAGTATAACAAGAAAAAATAGGACGTGATTATCGTTTTAACGACATTCCGCATTATAAAAGCGCAGAAAAAGTTTTCAAAAAAAAAAAAATTCTAGGCTCTGCTACTTTATTTTAAGAATTTAATAAGGATTCCCTTTCTTTCCCTTTTTTTTTTATAATACCCTCAAATTTGATTTTCTATAATATTTTTTTTTTTTTGTTCGATTAAAGTTTGGGTTCATTAAAATTAACAGGTTACTGTATAGAGTAGTTGGTTTAGAGGAATTTTTAAGAGTCTAGTAAATTTTGATCCTATTATGAAAAGGCATAACAAATAATAATGTTTTTTTATTGCATAAGGATATAAAAATCAATCAAATGAAAATTAAAAGGAGGGGAAGAGAAGGGTACAAAAAAAAGGAATTTTTTTTTTTTTAAATAAATTGGATAATTTACGAATATTTGATATTCTTATTCCAATAATAATAAAAAAAAAAAAAACAAAGAAAAAAAATTAATTGAATTTTTCTATATTCTTTATCCTTAAAAACAAAAAAAAAAAAAGAAAAATAAAAAATAAATCTTATATTTTTATTGCTTTTCATCATCCTCCAATATCTTGTGCTAATAATTTTCTCATACTCATACTAAACATACATTCATACATGTACATTTGAATTGGATTATTATTTTATGAAATAAGTAGTCTAGAAAATTCGAAAAAAAATTATAATTTAGATTATATGGAATCTAGGATTCATTTAAAAATTTGCTGACTATACTCAATATTATGAGTAATTCATTTCATACTAAACTTATGAATAAGAATATTCAATTAAATTTTAATTGCTTAATACAACATTATTTTAATTGTATTTGTGTAATATCATTACGTATATTGTATACAAAAGTGTTATACGGACAGAGTATACAAGTGTGTTACACGGAATTATATATAATTTTATTGCAATCATTATGTTTGAAATACAAATGGTTGGGTGTTTGAAACAAAGCTCAAACATTTTGTCTATTTATCATGCAGTAATTTGTTTGAAATGAAAAATGTGATTGAGAATTAGAATTGAGAATTTTTGATTTGCTATTTGATGACAACGATAGCCTTTATTTAAGTAATTTTACTACATTTTGCATAGTATATAAGAGTGTTACACGGAATCATACATAATTTTATTGCAATCATTATGTTTGAAATACAAATGGTTGGGTGTTTGAAACAAAGCTCAAACATTTTGTCTATTTATCATGCAGTAATTTGTTTGAAATGAAAAATGTGATTGAGAATTAGAATTGAGAATTTTTGAGTTGCTATTTGTTGACAATGACCATCGTTATTCAAGAAATTTTATTACATTTTGCATAGTATAAAAGAGTGTTACACGGAATCTTATATAATTTTGTCGTAATCATTATGTTTGAAATACGTGTAATCATTATGTTGGAAACACAAATGGTTGAGTGTTTGAAACTTGACTCAAATAATTCTACTTATCATGCAGAAATTTGTTTGAAATTACAACTAGAATTGAGAATTCAATTTCATTAATTTCTTGAAACATAAATTGTTTAATTAAAACTGAAAATCAGAAATTTTATCAAAAAATTGTTATTGTATTTTAAAACAATTTTAGTATGATATAGTTTTCTTACATGTATGAGTTTGAGTCGAGTTTGATTAATATTGCGTATCATACAAGTTATGGATTATATATCAATAAGAAAAGGACGCAGTGTAGGCAAGGAAAAGAATAAATTTAATTCGGTGATCTATGCAAAATATTATTTACCCGAGACAGAACTAGTCCGAATCTTTAAATTTTCATATAATAAGATTTGGAATTATTTTCCATTCTATTGCAATATAGAAAAAGTGAAAGATCTTAAATTCAAAGAAATCTATAATTTATGTTTTATTAACAAGCATATTTTCGCCTTCAAGCAATAAAAAAAAAAAGGATTTTTTTATGGGTCCTTTATAATAAAAAAAAAAAACAGAACAACAACTCTGTTTTCCATAATTTATATAAAAGAAAACAAAGAAAAAAAGGGAATATTATTATGAGAAAGAAAGGGATAATTAGAATGATTGTAGGAGATAAAAAATTATTTTCTTTTTTTTTTGGCAAAAATTTAAGTAACTTTGTTGTTTTAGGGCTTGCAAAAATAAATTTAAATGATTTTGATGAAATTCAATAAAAAGCAATGGAAACATATTTTAAATATCATGTGTGTATGTGTATGTAAGCACATAACAATGTATTTTAAATTATGAAGGCTTTTTAAATTATAGACGCCTATTGAATATTTATAAAATGCTAATAATTGTGGAATCTAAAGTATTGTTCGTTTACTTTTTAAGGATAAAATTTGGATCTTAAATTTTATATCCATCTTTCGGTTTAAAGATGAATATAGAATTGAAGGGCTAAGTTAATTATGCCTCACTAATAATAATATTATAATTCCAAAAATTTAAGAATTTGAACAACTTTATTTTATGTAATTATTTTTGAAATTCCATTTTCCATTAATGTGATGAATTTTTTACAGAACATATTACTCGTGTTTTTAGAGAGTTTGAAAATTGTTATACAAAAATTCAGTGAAATCCAGATTTTTAAATTTAATAGTTCATTTAATGTAATGATATACGAGTACAATAGAGTATAAACAAGTTTCATCCACAATGAATCAAACATGTTCGCTTATGTGGTTGTGTAATGTTCGATAAAGTATGTATAATTGTATGGATTAGTTGTTTTACGGGAAATTTATAAATATTTAATGTTATTCGCACAATTGTATTATTGTGAAGAAAAATATGATATAATTTTAATGTTATTAGATTATGATTACAAATTGTGTATACGTGTATATATGGAAGTATATGTCAAACATAATAGCGCGTATGGATATCTAGTGATATAGTGATAAAATTTTTAACAGTTTTGCTTCAAAAATTTTATTATACTCCCAATAAAATAAGCATAATGTCCATAATAAATCAATTATAAATCATTCATATAACAATAATATTTGTTAAAAATAACATATAACAATTTATATAACAATCATTGTCTTAAAATAATGCGAATCAATGTATTTAAATGGTGTTATACATAATGTCTACATTCAAACTGACATTTATCATCAAATCCTTTAATTTAAATATATCATTTATAAAGTAAAATTATTAAATTGTTATATAAATATAAATTACCTGTTTATTTTGTATAACTTCAGGTAAAATATTATTTTCTCCATTTTGTTTGTATACTGTTGTAGTACTACTATTCTCTATGTTATGAATGTTATTATCGTTGTCATTAATAATTTTATCTGAATAAAAATATATGCTAGTTTTGACTGCTGGCAGCATTAATGCCAAAAATAATGACATGATTTGACCTTAATTAATTAAAAGCATTCATTATTGTTATATACATATAAATATTGTGTATAAAAGTGTAATTGTATGTATGTTTGCAAAGGAAATAATATAAAAAAAGATGATAATGTTTTTTTGTATTAAAATAAAGTAGAAACAATGTAAAACAGAAACTTACTTCCAAATGTTATATAATTTAATTCACGTACATCCATTAAATTATATGATATTAAAATTTGTGCTAAAACACTTGCTAAAAATCTTCCAATTAAAAATGCTGCTCTTGTATGTCCAGTTACTTCTTGATATTTTTCTTGTTTTACTTTTGCATATATATATGTATAATATGCAACTTCAGCTGACATAAATGTACCATAACAAATTTGTATAATCTATATGTATATGAAATAAATAAATTGAATTGAGTATAATTAATTAATTAATATAGAAAAAAAGAATGAATATAATAAAATTTTGTTGATGGTTAATTGAGAATTTCTAAGTAAATATGTGAGAAAATCTGTTTCTTACTTGAAAGTTAATGGTAAGACAACTTATTACGAGAGCATTGATAAGCGAACATTAAAAGAGGTAGAGAAGAGACTTAGAAAATTGAAAGTACGGTTAAAAGTGGAATATAATCATTTGAATGTATGAAATGCATTAATTAAAATGTGTGAAAATATGCTGAAGAGAGTAAATGAGTAAAAAGAGAAAATAAGAATATTAAGAGTAGATGCCTTCCCTTTTGGACTTCTTGTGCCTTGTTGAACTTCTTATTATTAAAAAGAATGTTGCTCTCTTAATTAAGATCAGTCTGTCATTAAAGCGGTGACTCATGAGAGATACAATCATATACATAACTGTATTTACCTAATTTCAAAAATATATTGAGAACAAGTTTCTACGCGTAAAAATATTTGAATATTTAAAAATCGACTCTCAAATATTCTTTTTCTTGAATTTTTTGAAAACTATTCAAAAGTTATTCTATATTGGTGTTGGGAATTTTGCTCTTTAGAGTTTCTTAACAAACCCTTCATAGAGGACATTTTTGCTCCGGGTCTCCTCTTTTAAAGGATTAACCACATTTCTCTCTTTTAGACTAAGAGTATCTGAAGTGTTTAGTTGTTTCGAACCGTAATTTTTTCTAAATTTTTATTAATATTTTAATTTTATGAAGCAAAATGTCTATTAAAATTTAATATTCTTTAAGAATTTATCGTTAGACTTACAGCAAATATTTAAATAAAATTTTCTAATACGCCGCCCATTTGAGCATATAATTGTTATACAAAACTCAATTTATGAAAATAAATTCGAATCTTTTATATTATATAAAGTGTATAAGTTTTAAGGCAATATCGTATAATTTACAGCTGAATGGTCTAATAGATTCTAATAAAACATCTTATGTAAAAATATCTTTTAAGTACCTATCGTAATTTTAAGTGAACTGAAAAAGAACGTGAAAGTTACCAAAAAAACAAAAAAAATAATATGAAGCAAAATTTTTTTTTTAAATATTTTCATTGGAACCGACTGTGCCGCAATTGCTGTAGATTATGGTTCTTTAAAAAAGTTTTATTTAACAATAATGGGAATTAAAATTCGTGGTGCCGCGTATAGAAAAAAAAAATTTTCCTTTTTTTTTTTTTAAAAGCGATGATGTGGAATTTTATTTGATTATTTTTTTTTTTTGTGGTATTTTTTATTGTTATATAAAATATTAACCTTTGTTTGTATAACAATAAAGATAAAGTTGAGTCAAACCCATGGTTTTTAATGTGGCAGTTTTGCTTTCAACAAGTAAAAAATACTGCTTTTATAGGCAATCTAGCGTTGTACTACATTATTGATATGAATATATTTCAAAAATTGCATATGCTTAGGAGCAGAAATGTACTTAATCTTGGAAATAAACCAAAAAAAAATTGAAAGAAGTTTTCAAAGAATGCTCAAATTGAAGCGTTAATTGCTTAAGTTAAAAAAAATAGTTATATTTTTTAATGGTAAGGTATTTACCGTTAGTTTTACGGAAAGAAATTTGGAAAAGCTTATAGTTTCGAAAATATAAGAAAAAAATCGAATTTTACAAATTTCGAAAGGCGATAACTGAAAAGGGGTGGAGGTGTTTAAATTTTTTCTTCTAATGAAATAAATTAGTTACTAATGTGTATAAGCTGTCAAAGGTTTAGAAGAAAAACGATATCAAAAATTTGGAAAAAATGGGGTTTTAGGTAACGGTAAATTTTAACGGACATTTTGTTTTTTTTTTAAAGTTCAAGTATAGTATGCCGCAGTAAAATAATTGCAAAATTTGAAAAATGCTTATGATCTCGTTGGAACAAATAGTTGAAAAAGGCATTTTTAGGTGTTTTAGGGGCTATAACTTTTAGAGAGGAAGGGACATAGGTAAAAATTTTCTTTTTCGGAAATAAGTTTCTAGTAACGCATGAAATTTCAGATTGCTATCATCAAAGTTGTAAAAGTTTTGTAAACATGTCCACGGATGGACAGACAGAGTGAAACTAATAAGTACTTTTTCTCAATATTTTTTTTGGAAAAGTGCTGAAAAGAAGAAAGTTAAGAAAGAAAAAAAATAACAGCTAACATTACAATGAAACCAAAAATTTTAATCGTTATTAAATTACAAAGATAAACAGAGAAACGCAAACAATAGGCTCTTTATTTTTTATACTTTATTTGATTTCAGGATTTTTTTATTTTTAACAAGGATTATTATTATAATTTTAAGTCTATATGCTTTTAAATAACATTAATGATGACATTTGTGGGAGTATTTCGTTGTATCAATCAAAATTCATTAAATTTAAATTTAAATAAGCAGTGGGATTTTCAATATCCGTGGTTAAAATAAAAATTTTTTTAAGACAAAACCAGAAGAATTACAATATTTTTTATAGTAATATGATTTATAGTGCAAATAGTAATAGTATATAGCAGTGATTCTCAAACAGTGGATCACGACCACAAATGTGATCTAGGACAATATAAAAATAGCCACGCGATAATCCAGAAATGGAAATTTAACAAGTTTTTAGTTTGAATTATTCGATAGAGCAAAGAGTTTGTTAAGCAGTACTTACAGCCATTAAGACTTAAAATCTAATCTAAGTACAAAATGTAAATGTAGTAAGTACTATTATATTAAAAATTTTGAAAATCAAACAAGCGTTACAATACGAAATCGTTGCCCATTAATTTTTATGGTCGCGTAATCATGGATTTTAAGAAACATTGTTCTATAGTAAAAAAACGAGGCATTTTCATGAATTTGTGTCCCAAATATTGATTTCTTATTGTGAAAAACTGATTCACATTAGTGTTAGCTAATATAGTTTCGAAATGCTATAAAATTTCCCATAAAATAGAGGGAAATCTGATTTAATATGAGAGATTTTTGTATTGCGAATTATAAGAAAATTTTCAATATTTTGTTGAAAAATTGGCTGAAAGCTAAATTGTAAGAAAACGAAATTCAATTCTTTCCTAATATTCTCCTATTAAGGTACTAGTTTTTCCAAGTATCCTTTAAAATTTAATATAAAAATCCTGAAATTTAATTGATTCAATTGCAGCAAAAACCAAAATGAAACCATAAAAATAAAGCATTAAAATCCCATTAAAAACAAATTATATAAAATTTTTCAATATTAAATTGAAATTTCATAAACTCACAATTCTTTTTTATTATCATTTCATTAAAAGTTCTTAAATCTTAATGATCATTACATAAAATTTTAAAGTTGGACTAGTAAAATCTCACATCTAATAAAATAAATTTCGAAATTACTGATTTTTACATTCTAGAAAACTAAAAATATACGATTAACACGAAAAAGTTGTACTTTCTTCTTTCATTCTGTTAAATTCATCTTTTTGGCGCTTAAAGCATATCTCTACTACATCAACACTCATGTTAAATTTAACTGCAATAGAATTATTGTAAACACTCATTTGAATGAAATTGTGAACTGTTAATGAACTGCTCTTATAAGTTAAATGTTTTTAACGCTGATTTAGATTCACAATTTTTCTATTTTTCTAATTTCAAAATTTTAATTTTGATCTTGAAATGACATTGAGAATTTGTTTTCAATACGAATTTATTTTCTTAAATTTTACATTTGATATCCTTAAATTTTGAAAAATATCCTTGAACTCCTACGAATGCACACATATATATATACATTAATGTAAATTCATTAAAGTTTATTTTATAGATAATTTGGTTTAAATTTCATAAAATGAAAATCATTGCAATTTATTTGTTAATTTTTTTTTTCTTTATTAAGAATATTAAAAAGTAAACTGAGATCTGTTGAATGTACTAATTAAAAATAATAAATAAAAAAATAAAATTGCATTTACAAATAAAATGCAATTTAAAAAAAGGATTTTCTATTCAAATTTGTTTTTTATTATGGTAAAAAATATTTTATCCTTTTCAATTTACAATGGGAGAGTGGAAGAGAGACGATCTTTTTTTTATTTGTAAATATTTTGTTGATGAGAACATGGTTTATGTTATATGATTCCCGTTAAAAGAAATTATAAGAGAGTTCAAGGACGCCATTTTTAATTTTAATTGCAATTAAATGTACTTGAGTAAAATTTTAAGTAAAGAATTCTATATTTAATCATTTCATGTTCAATTTCATCTTGTTCAATTCTAATTTATTTTAGTCTTTAACTTTAGAACTAATGTTTGGAAAACAGTCAAATTTTGACTCAATGATATGGTCAGGCCAAGATTTTTGAGCTATGTAGTCTTGACTTGTAACCACAGAATAATTTTACATATGATTTAAAATTTATAGAATAACAAAATTATTTAATTACAATTAAATATCATAATCTTTTGTAAAATAAATACCGAATGCATGCACACAAATGTGTGTTTATATCCATTCCAAGTAAACTAAAGTTTCGAATAATTTAAAGCACGACAAGAATTTGACAAATCTGCTTCTGTATACAAACGAAATTATGAAAATAAGTTTTGTATATGAATATTTTTCAAAAAAAAAAAAAAAAATTACAATATTTTGCTAATTATGTTCTAGCATACTTCTTAATTAAAGAAAAATGTTCTTATTAGTTTGATTCTATTTACTCATCCGCTTACAAAACTGTTTCAAAACTCATGTCATTTAAACATCCGAAATCAGATTAAATTTGGGAAAGACTCAAAATATAATAGTCTAAAGATAACGTTAAATAATTTATTTTATTAAAACAAAAATTTTCTTTGTACCACCTCATGTCTCTCTAAGCAACCCGCGTTAAGATTTACGAAACCATCGCAATAACAAAAATTTTCATTAACAAACTTAAAGCCTGATTGTGTATCTCGCGTTTTTTATTC